GTGGTTTCAGGGGGTAGCAGCAGAAAGGAGGGAGGGGCTGCTCAGGTGCCGCGGGGCTGTTGGATGTTCCGGGGTTGTTTGAATAAACTCTTCATTCTTCTTCTTCTAATTCGCTAGCAATATTGTATGCTGGAGCTCCAATCTTACTGCTGAATCGTAAAATCGTTCGACATACGCCTCGACCATAGCCTCTTTCTCGGTCAACGGCTGCGCTTTTGCGTTAAGTTGCCGCACAACATTCATATAATCAACGATAATGCCTGCAGACACGATCCACGCCACGGTATCATCGATTTTAATTTTTATAACAAGGATGTGATAGTTTCTCCGTTGCGCACTAGAAGAAGCATCACCGCCGGCAGTAATTCGGCTGCAAGAACTTTTTCTCTTGCTCGTTGTCGTAAGCTTGTCACTTGATAGCATCTGGAGCAGAACAACAATGTCGTCTTTGAAACGATCTACACAAAAAGTCGCTATCGTTGCATCTTCCAAGTCCGGGTTTGCCAGTCTCACATACTTGACAAACGTATGAAATAGTGGCCGGTCTAGTAAGCTAGATTTAAGTTAATTATTAATACGCTTCCCATCTGCAGCTTGTAGTCAACTTCTTCAAGACCCAAATAATGAAAAGCTTCCTCCGTAGATTTTCTATTCCCAAGTCTTCATCTGCGCAGCTTGTAATGATTCCGCAAGCTTGAGCGTAGCAGGAGTGGTGGTGGCGAGCTCAAGTATGCGTGCAACGCGAACATCCGTGATGACGTCCACCATAATTTCAATCATCTTTTCATTCTTGTCTTTTGAATTCATTTTTGTAACATGCCTGTCCCACAATTTAAAGCGTGTGGAGCTTAACAAGATTTCGTCAAGATCACTCTCCTTCTTTTTGAAAAGCCTAAAATCAAAGCTTTTGTCGTCGATCCTAAGGAGCTCCGGAATATCTACCAAATCGAAGACGCCCTTGGCAGATATGTTGTCTTGACCCAAGAACGCCCCATGGCTTCCATCAAATCGGAAACAATCTCTTCTGTTTTGCCTTCGTTTTCATACTGACTCAACATTTTTTAAAGAGATAAATCCTTGCCATTTCGTGTCTTTAAAATCGCCATTGCTGCTTTATTGTCATGGGAATACACCATTTTTACATACTTAACCCGCTTATTAAATACCGGCACGTCAAGAAGGCTGTCGGAATTCTAATTCTACTCCGAACCAACGAAAGGCCGTCTCCGCATTTACTTTGCATCTGCGCATCCAGTAAAGCTTCTGCAACTTTGACCGTGTCTCCTTTTTTCTTACCCAATATGGGGCGCTGTTAGCAAAAATGCAACGGATGACTCACCCATGTCACCTGCTAGATATACCATAGTCGACACCATTACTTCATCTGCGTTGGTTGGGTAAGCACGGTTTACGATTTCCATTAACCGATTGAACTCCGAGTTTTGAAGAAGATCAAGGGGCAGCTTTCTGAATCCCAGAAATTAACATGAATAATGCCAATCTTTTTTTTGCGTACCTTCTAACAACGATTTACGCATCACCGCAACTTGTACTCCTAAAAACAAGTCTTTATCGAAGCCTCTGTTTGCTCTTAAAGTTGAAATAATGCCAAGAAGCGTGGCTTTATCGAGGTAAGCAACACCGTCTGCTATTGCTTGATCAGTGTATTTAGAAAATGCGAGCTTCAGATACTTGAGCCACACTTTGAGGTACGGCGTGTCTAGGAAGTTCTCTTTCAGATCGTACAGACCACCTTTAGTGATAACTCTATCTAGCTCCAACGTATCGAAGGACTGCTTTGGATTCAAGCAATTATCTTTCCAATGATTCAGTAGCACACACTCAAACCTTTCCGCAACCTCTTTAACTTCCGCCTCTTTAAACGTTCTACCAGCGTCCAGCATTTCCACGATATCTTTTATACTGCGTCGACAAAGTCCACATCGCTGCATCCATCCAGTCATCATGGAAGGTATTTGTAAAAGATTTGATCCATTTCTTGAAGCGCTTGGTGCTTAGCAGTTCGAATTTGCGCTCGTGAAGCATATATTTCGTGTAAGCTTCTTCGAACGATTGGATATGTCAGCAAACGCGGACTGTTTATCCCGTGTATGGTACCGGCCCCCCACGATTGCAATGCGTCACGTACTTGGTCGCCTAGTCTACTTGGACTCATCCTATCCTCTGCGTCCGCCTCCGTGCCGTCTCGCAGAGACCGATGGGCAGGAAGAGCATGCTGATGAGGTTTTGTTGGTTTCCCAAATGCTGACGTTGGCCGACTGACAGCGTATCGACACAGCGAGATTGTGTGATAGCTGCCATGAAGAGAATCAAACTGAGACGCACTCTTGAGGTATTCCGTTTGCTTGTGGCTTCCGAGAGAAATATAGTTATGATATAGTTGTGTGAGACTTTGCGTATGGTTGTGATTCCACTTGTTTACTAAGAAAAGAAGCTGTCTGTCGTTTCCAACAAAATCGTTTGATCGAAGTCAATGAGTTTATTGTTATGTTCTTCGCTTAAGACGCAGCCTGGTATTGCAGAACTATCTGACGACTGACAAAAGCGTCGAAGTATTATTCACATGTATTGAGCATAATATTCTTCTAAAGTGACATTCCTGATGGACAAAGTATCAATTATGTACATTGATGCAAAACATACTGGGTTATCCATATATAGGGTAAGAGAAGAAGACCGTACTTACACAGGATTATTCTATAGGGTAAGAGAAGTTATTTTGGGTTAGTATCGCGACATCAAATTGAAAAAGAAAAGTCCAATAAAAATAATTTAAAGTCGATAGGTTTTTTAGTACATTTCATCAAATAAACACTAGATTAAATCATATTTCAAGTAAATATGGCTTCAAATTGATTATAATTATCTAATATAGACTCTTAACACCTTTTTAATAACATTACGGTTTAAATTTAAAATAAAACCATTCTAATACTGTAGCATCTTACTTATATTTTTGATGCTTACGCAGATTAAATAAATATTCAAATGGATGTATAATTAAAATAAACAAAGTTTGATATTGTTTTATAGGTATTTGATATGGTAGATTCAATCCTGACGGGGTGCGTTTATTTCTATGAGAATACTATATCACTCTTTGTTTTTCTTATTACTTTTACTTCATGTTATAGCGATAATTATTATCAAACCACAGCACCTTTACTAACTTAATATTTCTATATTAAAATAATTTGGTAGTAAGCATTAGCTCGAATTGGCAAGAATGTATTGCATCTCGATCAGGATTATTCTAATCTAGTAAAACTAAATGATTATTGGTATTATTGTTAACTTTTTCTATTTTATTTTATTGTGCTGCAGAACGATTACTATGGCAGCAATTACGCATCATTTACATTGAGTCAATTCCTTCGATGGATATATAATAAGGTTATAACTTGTCACAACTTTGGTAATGAGAGTGATCAAGTTTATTGTACAACGGACAATTTATATATAATTGACAAGGGAAAACATCGAATACTGCTAATGGAAAGCTCATTTACGTGTCATTTACTGGACGAGCGTTTTGCGAACGAAACGACGAAAGAAAAATTACTACGGCAGTCGTCGTGTTTTAATATTGACGTAAATCTACGGCTCATGCTATTGTCAGAGCAGCTTGTAGAAACTTTAATTACGTCGGGTGTGGGGAGATACCTAGAATTTGCAGCTATTGAGCGCACTTATGTGCATTTTCAACCATCAGTGTCTGGAACTCAACAGCTTGAAAAGGATCTCAAGTTGGATACGGTTTGGGAAGTTCCTTGCTTCAAAAAAGATGTATTTCAGAGCAAATTGCTAAATACGGTGGAGAAGCGGCAATTGATGAATTTTTTTTTGCAGTCTGTAGCGGATTACCGGGAGATGCATGTTTTACACGAGGACGTAAAGACGAAGAACAAGCGGATGTTAGCGCTTGGACGTGCGCTGAAGCGGCCACAAAACAAGATCAATCAGGTGGATGGAGATACGATGATTGCGGTGTACGTCGAACGTCCGTTTCAGGAGCTACTAGAAAATACTTCAAGCTTTCCACTAAACTACAATGGTGGCCGTATACTGCGTCGGGCTTGCGACTTTCCTGCCACCAAGAACCAGACCTCGGCTCGTGACGGACTTGCTGCAGTCTATCGCTCTGTGCCGTCAATTGGAACCGCCTTCTTGGCACCACTGTATAGCATCAGCGAGCTTGTGCAGAACTTCTGTCGGCTTTATGCTGTGTACGGTGGTACCTACGTTCTATGTGCTCCGTTGATGGATTCGTGCTGAATGCTGAGACGAATGTAATCAGCTGCGTGCACTGCAGCGATGGCAGTGTGCTGCAGACGAAGCACGTAGTGACCAACGGTAGCTACGCTGATTGTCTTCTCCTGACCGATGGTGAAATATTACCACGCGTGCACGGTCACATGTTACGAGGTGCGTTTGTGCTAAAACATCTTTGCGCGATGGTATGAACCGCATCATGCTCATTAGGCTACCCAAGGATAGCGAATCCTGCAACCCGTTTGCTATTCAAGTTGTGCAGCCTGATGCTGGGGCGTGGCGTGTCCGAAAGGGTACTCTCATGTGCAAATATTGATGCCATTATCAGCGCCAGCTGATTGCTTGAGCCAAAAAAGAAGCAGCAAAAGCTTTTACAATCCGTTATCCGTAGACTTATTCTGAGTTCGCAGACAGAGTTGCATCCGAAGTAGAACAAAGCAGACGCCAAGATGACTTCTCCTCAGGCCACCAGCGATGATAGCGCGGAGACTAAAGCAGCCACGAATATAGCTGACATCAGTAGCGAACCTCAATACTTCATGCAAGTCAAATTGAAGCGACTGGATTGCATGGCAAGCAATCTTTACAATGGATCATATTGTTTTCAGCGACGTTTCCAATAGCAGTGCCACACAAAGAACGAAGACCTTCCCATAAACTTGTAGATTTTGCAAAATGCCCTTCTTCGACTCGGACTGTAATTTGGATCCTATCCAACCGAATCGTGTGGCAATGCTGCCAGACCTCTGGAGATCCACCTGGAGATTGAGTGCAAATGCCAACGCCCGTGCCATCCTTGACTGTAATGGGGTTGGTGTGGCTGTACCTTGGGTACAAGAGTAGGCTCGATGTGACCGTACCTGAAGTACAAAGGGTCGCATCGTGGCAGAGAGCCACGTGGTCACTACACTTATTCAAAGTATTGTAACTATGCATGCTTGCATAATAATAAAAGGCTAAAGAGCTAGGAATAGTGACTAGCACTAAGTATAGGATAGGTGCTTCTTATATTTAATTTTTGGAAGATAAACGTAATCAGTTTCAAACCTGCTCTGTAAGCCTTACAGCTTGAGTGTTCGATTCCTTAGAAGGAATAATTATCTTGATACCAGTCTCTTTAAGACTCAGTTGTTAATACCGATAGGCACAAGCTTACGAGCTAGCCTAGGAGGGTTAAGAACCCTAAGACGTAGAAGCTCTCTGAGCTTGTCTTTACTCTGCACATAGTGCATACGTAGTTTTGCTACAGTAGTCTGACTACTTCTTCTGCACATAGTGCATAAGTAGCGTAGCTACAGTAGCGCGGCTACACTTCGCATATATTACATAGCTTTATTATATATGATAAAGCTTTACATGTTGGCCAATTATCGATGGCCGCTAGCAATAATAAGGATAAGTTTACGTTTCAAATATAAAGAGTAAAGCCTTGTTACGGCATATATCTTATGGATCTTTGACCGTTTTGATTATTCCATTGAGCCAATTCTTCTGTGGAACTAAGAGACTATTTGATTCTAAGTCTTCCTCTGGCTTGATCGACGAATGAATGCTATTGTGTACATAAGATGCTCGAACTATAAAATCGAAATTGAATGTAATAAGAGAAGAAATATATATATCATGACGGAAGTTAAATATTTTGTTTAAGATAAAAAAGCATATAAAATCACTTCCGTCATCCGATTAATTGTGGTGAGTTAAACAGTAATTATAAATTTGTGAATACAGAACTAAATTTTGCAAATAAAAGTGCGCAATTAATTTTTCAATAAGAAATTATCATGCCATAATTTACATTAGCATTAAATGAATTAAGATTTGTGAAAAGACATCCAACATCAGATGATAGAAATCAATATAGCAATTTGTGCTTTTCACACGTAGGTAAAGGGGGTTATAGATTGCAGTATTTGTGTCGCACGATCCTACAGACCGTTTATGCAATTACGCGGACCGTTACGCGCTGCTTCACAATACTGGGTCACGGTGATCTTGCTGTTCTTTCGTGCCTACATTGCAATCAATGATACGGGACGCTGTGTGATTATTAGCCTGTGAAAAGACTTAACTAGAAAAGTGCGCTTGTTTTGCGTTTATAATACTAACATAGCCAGTAGACCAATACTGCAAAGACTTTTGATACTGACAGCCAGGAAACGTGCCTATGTATTTTACTTTTTTACTGGTGTAGATGCACTACCAGCATTTCAAACCAGTTTCACCTTATCCATGTCTTCTTTCGGTGCCGTTTGTGTGTAATTGCTGTGGGGTCGGGTTTGACTACCTACTCCAACTTACATTTGGTAGCTGCACAGCCCTACACCACGGAGTATGCTAAAATTTCCTTATTCATGTCAGCCACAACAATCATATTTTGCTGACTTGTCGTGGTAATAGCATTAGGGCTGTCATTTAAGGCAATCTCCGTCACCAGAAGCGAGTTCGATGGATTGTTCTTGTTGTCCACAGAAAGCGCTGCGTAGTAATCCCACATGCACAGTTTAGCGTCGTTGGCGGCGGAAACCAGCCGGTCTTGAGGACGAAACGCAGCAAAGTGAACTTGAGAAACCATAGCTTTGTGATGTTTTAATCGTCGTGTAATTTGTTTCGACCCAAAGTCAACGATTGCAATACTGGCATCTCCTAGACCAGCCGCAAAGGACTTACCGTTCGATGCGAACGCCAGTGCGTGCACCAAGGGTGGATTGAAATTTTGCTGAACGCTGGATTTTACGTCGTCGACAAAAGCATCGGGATTGCCCGGTCCACATACACCCGTGTTAAGGTTGATTCGGAATCTAACTTTACCTCGAAAAAAGTCCCAAAAGAGAAGCAGGCCATCCATACCACCCGATACGAGATCCCACGTTGCGTTCGGACGAAACGGTGCAGCGCTACAGATATTCAAGTGCTGGCTCTGTAGTTTCTTAAACAAGCGGTGACTATCCAAATCATACACACATATATCGCCATTATCGTCTGGAACCGACAGAAATTTGCCGTGCTTGCTTGGGTGTCGTGACAGCACGTTAATCTCGTCCTTGCTCTGTTGAAATGCCTCTCGATCCGCGCAGTTCACGATCAGAGTTGGCTGTCGTATATCAAATGTCAACACCCTATTTCCTGCTGCAACGTATATGTAAGCACTCTCCGCTCCTGCTGTCGCTTTTCCAAATGCAAGCGAATTTACGGCACTCTCATCATTGTCGTCAGTGCCTAGTGCCTTCTTGACATTCAGACATTTTGTCACTTTCGTGGTGCGCACGTCCCACAGACGGCACGTACCATCGTCACTCCCAGATGCTAGTACGTTAGGGTGAATGTTTTCCTCACACAGTAGCGCATTCACCGACTCATGGTGGCCCTTGAATGTTAGCAATTTACACGGCTTAGCCATCATTGTCCATGCGATTACTGTTAAAAGCTTGGTCCAAGTCTAGCGTACTTAAGGTGAATGGCATTCATAAAATAAAGAATAAATTTTGAGATTGAACATGTTTACTCGGACGATTACGCGTGCGTATTTTTGTGTGAAGACGCACGATTTGCTGTGCTGGTTGGTATACAAGTGTTTGCTGTAATGGTCAGGCACTCATCCTTCTGTTACACAAAAGCCACGTCTTTGACAGGCATAGGGGTTTTACAGATTGTATGGATGCAACTGTAGTCACGTACACAGAAGCGGCTGCGGCACCGCTGTCTGGCAAGCTTTCCACTAATGTTACAAGCACCTTCGCGCCAACGATTTGGTCAACTACAGACCTTACGCCCGGCAAAAGGCTTCACGTGCACCTCCCTGTGGATGGCAGGATCTTGAGATCTTCGATTATAATGCTTTTCCGAGATGTTCTTATCTGCCTGTTTGCCAGCTGTCTGCTTTTCAGCCAATGCGACGACAATCCTAGCCAAGCAATCGCCGCGCTTGTGAAAACGTCTGCTTTAGAAGCAACAATGTGGTCGCAGCAAGCGCATCTCTACGCACTATTATGACGCAAGCGGCTTAAACTTGTTTTATTTCCAACACGATTTGGAGTTTGCCGTTTGCTGGCTTTTCGCGCAGTTGAAGTATCGTCCAGTCTGCACTAAAAACGCCAGGCTAGAAACCATTCTTGCCTGCACGGTGTCAAAGCGGCGTAGAAGCTGCGCTTTTTTTGCTGCTAATCCCATGCTTCGCAGCCGGCGACCGACCAAGTTGCTACTTCGCGCTTGATGCGGCGTGTGTGTTACGGTACAGCAAAGAGCGTCTTGGCATCGGAAAGAGCACAGACAACGCAGCTGAGCGACAGCTCGGACGAAGTCTTTTCTACCTTACCTGCAATCTCAACAGCCTCAGGCGCGTTTTTCAAAACTGAGCATCGCGAAAGCGGTCCCTCTTTATTTGAGATCCGCTGGTTGGTGGTTGTGTATACACATATACGAAAGATAGTTATTATATTCACGGCCATGCGCGATTAAGATAATGGTGCAAGCACAATGTGTGTGGTATTATTAGTCTTGAGTGTTTGCATTAAAAAGCGTGTTGATCGCTAAGGGTTCCACTTTCTGCTTTCAGTTGTCGCATTCTACTTGTCCTGCTGCGGAACCAATCCTGAAGATCGCCGCCAGTTCCTTGGGTCTGAGCTGATCCACCTTCTTATCCACCGTCACCATTTGTGGTCGCAACTTGCGACATTGATTCGGTGACGCAGCGCGTCCAATGTAGCGAAATCGCAACGTTTCTACGTTGACAATAGTGACTGCCGTGGCAAGGGAGGTTACAATGTCGCTCCACATGGTGCGCTCGGCCATCAGATTGACTGGTAGGCCATGACGACAATACACAAGCGCTGTGCTTCGATTGGGATCTTGTCGAACGGTAATTTGCTGAGCGTCGCAAAGCTTTTTACAAATGAGTTGACAGCGTTGTCTAAGCCAGCGCAGTAGACGAAGTGTATTGGGTCATCCTGAAGCTAGAAGTGTTGGTGGCCAGCCGATGTTTACGATATCATGACAGAAGCTGTGCGAGAACTATGGGCCATCTCGCTTAAATAGTATGAGATGAGCTACATTGTACCGCAATGTTAGTCAGTGTGTATGGTGTCTGTCAAGTTTATTTCTACAGCAATACTGTGTAGCAGTAAAATCTAGCAGCTTGCAGTTCGCGCATGTCGATATGAAGGGAAAAGTGCGGGGCGGACCCATCATGCTTGAGTGAAGAGGAAGAACTTGCAGTACATTTGAAAGTTGAAAATTCTGGATCTGTTAAAACTCATTGCGTCCTTTCTCGCCTGGGATTGGCTGAACCAGCCCACGCATGATTTTGAGGCTGGATTCCTACATAACCGCTTGTCCGCCAAGTCTCTAGGTTCATTCCACAGAGAAGTGCAAAGAAAAGTCTGCTAGGCTGATAGCTAGGGCGCTATAATCTTCACTTTCCAATTTTCCACAAAGCAATCATCGACTATCAAAGCTATACATTCTCCCAGATTTATCTACACAGCTTTACGATACGCTCACAAAATACAACATGCACATGAATGTGGCCATGGATAAGCAGACGTCGAGGCGTATCGTTAAAGTGACCAACTATGCGCTAGTGCAGGTGCTAAAAGCTACGGTGGCGCGCCTGCGCAAGGTTGATATGGAACTAGGCGACCTGGAGTTAGCGCTGGAGGACGAGCAGGAGGAGGTCGAGTCCTACAGTGACGACATTGATGACTGTCACGATCGCATTGAGGACATTGATGAGTTCGTCCGCGAGCTGGAGGCCGGTAATGTGCGCACAGTAAGCGACGTGGCAGCGGCGCTATTGGAAATGACTGAAGAACGCAAGGAGGAACAGAAGCTGCTGATGGTGCTAGACGACGCGCGTGCAAGTCATGAGCAGCAGTTTGAGCAGTTGCAAAGTCAGTCTGCTGCGCTTAAGAAGGAGCGTATTTTGCTGGTCAAAACTCGCTATGAGATTTGCCGCCTCTTCTGCCGCAATGGCGTCTTTGATCTCGTGCGACGGAGGCTAGTAATGTTCAACCCCAAGCTTCTGTAAGGTATCACAGTCGCTGCTTGTGGCTAATATTTATAAGCTAAAATAATACTATGGATATGCAAACTTGATACCAAATCTGTTACCCTGACATCGAACAAGTCCTTATGTTGCTTCTGTCCGCTACAAAGACATAGAAAATTCCACCCGACATCAAGCAAGGCGACGTGCTGCCTCCTTGCCGTTGATGCAGCTGCGACTTTAGTGCGCCACCACGTGCTTGCATCTCCAAATCGAAAGATCTTGCTTGGCATAAACAGGATTGCGGGCACGATAAAGCCCAAACTAACTCACCCAGCAGAAATCTTTACCACATTAATGTGAGCGGTTTAAGGTGCGCGGGAACGAAATTCGACGTGCAGCGCCCACAAGCCAATAGTACGTAGCGTTTAGTGGCCGACTGGCGACCTTAACATTGCTTGATATATCGACCAGACGCAATGCTATAGAAAACCAGTCCAATATCTACTTTGTGCTGTTTGCCGTCACAGCTGTCGTCTTCCCGTTTCTTTTTTCGGCAAGATAGGAAAAGCATGATGAACTGTAGCTTACGATTTTGCATACCCATAGCTCCGACCGTTATAGAGAGAGGGGAAAGGTGACAGGGTATGCTGATTTGTCAAATTAGAGATGATTTATATGTCGGAAAAGGCATTCGAGACCAAAGTAAAAGAAATGAAAGCTGTTCTAAGCAGCACCGTGACTTATACGAGTATAGCACACTCGTTTTAATCCGGTGATTAGCCTTAGGTCGTAGATGCTTTGTAATTAAGGCTAGTCAGCTCAGAGAAACTGGACCGCGCCATGCTGTCTATCTTACAGTTAAGCAAGCTTTTACCATTACATTCTACAATTGATATTAGTATCCAATTTGAGCTTACCTTTGTACACCTCCGTTACACTTTTAAAGGTGACCACCCCACCAACCATACAGTCGCAACCCCTATTTTGTGACACCTAATTTTTAAATAATAGGTACTTTTTATCCCAAAGTTACAGTCATTTTGCTGAGTTCCTTCAATATAGTTCTTTCATTTACGTTAGTCTACTCGACCTATTCAGACTAACGTCGTGTCGTCAGCATTGTCGTGCACGATCTCATAAGGTGCCCATTATTAGTGGATCTTTGGCATTGTTTCGAGACCTGTTCTAACAGCCATTTCTGGGGTTATCATTATCTAGCTATAAATTCGATTGTTAAGTATCGTCTTAAAATTTTGGGTACAATTTGAATTAGAAAATTATAAGTTTATTTTAAATGTTGTACTGCTAAGTTATGTATTAAGCTATAGAAATAATATAATTTTGAAGATTATAGTTTAATATATTTTAAATATTTGCAAAAACTATTGGCGATCAGACAATAAGTATTAGTATTCGTTATTAGCAGTCACTGTATATATTAAGCAAGGTATCATCGTACATTGGTCGTCATGGCGTCATTCATATACAAGCTCACGGCAAAAGTTTGTATATGCCGCCAGCTACGATGTCTAGTTGAATAACTTTTTTGTCTGCAAGAAGTTGAGTGAGTGCTAGCGGCACCATGTAAGTGACGACTAGTACATTGGCAAACACATGATATAACAGTGCCTCTAGACTCTATCACCGATCAGACTTGATGACCAGCATCACTATGAGAAACGAACCCATGTCGTCCAAAACCTTTTGTGGTAATATGATACATCACCAGCACAATTGCCACCCATTCTTATTCTAAAAAGTAGTACATTGTAGAGACAAGGTCGTAGTTTTTGTCCAAAGTTGCGTTGGGCATCCTTGTTGTCGTTAAAAATCAAACTGCATCATTGGAAAGAACGTGTACCACGCTGCACCAGCAACCTGCTAAATCTGTGACCTTGTGCTATTGTGACGTAATAATGTGTGGAAATGTGACGCGGTTGGCTGTAAAAAAACGACATTTATATCAGGGTCCCGCAGCAATTACACACTACGCCAGACGTATTATATGCCCCGCAGAAGACATGATTTGTAGTCTCGTTTTGAGTGTGGTTTCCGATGAAAACATGAGATCTACTGCAGCAGACCCAATGACTTAGCACTCATTCCGCTGCTAAGCTATGTGAGCGCCAAGACGCGTGTGTCCTTTTTGGGCTGAATGAATACCTATTCCAGGAGTATTGTATTCACACTTGTAAATTTTGATGTCACAACGTCTCTTCCCATGAGCTAGATTGTAATTTGCAAGCTGCATTTATTTGAATAAGGAGCAAAATAAGTGCCATTAAGAATGGATGTCATTTCTTAGGGCCACATGTATCTTTTGAAAAGACCCTGCCCTTGCACTGCTAAAATAACCTAGGTGACTTTTCCGTTATCGGTTATGCTCAAATCATCGGAGTATAAATGCTTTTGGCTGCCATAAGCGCCAACATTCTACATCAATTTATTGGCAGCTGCAAAACGAAGAATGCAGAAGAAAAACGCAAGAATGAGCCGACGCTTCGTGACGCAAGACATGTTATTAGCCTTTGTGGAGTGCAGTGTTTTATTTGTATAAATGAGACGAAACGTGTGTGTTTTTCTTTTGTCTTGTTTGATAACTCGTCCGCGTAAAACAACAGCATTATGAGATTGACCACGTCTTCTCGATCGGCTTATGACGTAAAATTTGAGGCTGCCGATATTGTAAAATTGCCATCAGTATGTAGGGGCAATGAATATATAAACGATTAATATTCACGCTTTATTTTCGGTCATATTCACCAAGAGATACTCCGTTACTCGAAAATTGTTCGTCCTCGTGGGGACTCGAACACCCAATCCCCGCTTTCAGAGGGCGATGCCTCATCCTTTACGGGGACATTCCGTACCCTTTACAAATGCTAAATACATATAATAGCATTTAGTTGAAAGGTACGGAATGTAAACAAATGACAATTGAAACATTCATTCAGCGTCGCTCTCATAATTAGTCTTCAAAGCACCATCAAACTAATTCCTCGCCGCATACTTGCCGGTTTATTGGTTGATTTCTTCAAGCTACAAGGAAGCAGCACGGCACGGCGTCATGCGTCTACGATTAAAAAGAAATGTACAAAGTAAGCTGCAACGTGCTACTTTCTTTAAGGTTCTTGCTAGCATTTGATGCATCTTACAGCGTCACACCTGGCTCGGATGTACCAGATGACAGGTCAAACGATTGACCTGGTTCAAATGAGGTGCCAGGCTCGAATGACTGACCGAATGGACTTATCATTGCTTGTGGAGAGTGCTGCATGCGTGCCACGCCCATTGAGCGCTGCGATTGCTCTCGCTCCACTTGCTGCTGGAGAGTGAAGCGCGGCTCAGCCTGAACGGGCACCGAATCCTGGCGGTTATATGACTGCGGCGGTGCACTGGTCACCAATCCATTGTGCATCATAGAAGATTGAGACGAAATAGCAGCAGGCGCAGCCGATTCTTTGCGCATGGCCATCACAACCTCCTTCTGAGCGCGCTCGACCGCCGACACGCCTCCGGCCATGCCATTGTTTCCGCCATTCCCACCAACGTTTGCATAATTGTTTGTATTTGAGCGCGGGGGCTCGAAACAGATTTCACTTGGTCGGTCCATGTCGTCTTGGTCATCATGCTTGCGCGAGCGCACGTAGAACGTGATGACACATAAAGCCATTAGCACTACAGCCGCTACCACAACAGGCACAAGCCAACTTGATGCCGAAGAGTCATCCAAACTCTTTGTATTGCCGTCTACCGGATAATCGGAGCTGCTTGGAGTCGTGTCGTACTCGGGTGTCGTAGATGGAGCGACCTGAGCAGGCGACGGCATGGTGTCAGTCACAGGAGCTGATGGCGTGGTGTCAGTCACAGGGGTCGAGTCCGTCGTAGCAGACGCCGGAGCGGTGATTGTGGTCGTATTGGCCGTCCCTTCCGTAGTGGCAGCTATCGGTGTGGTCAGCGTCGCATTCGCCGTCGTGGTAGGTCCAGCGAAATTGTTGGTAGTAGTGGAATTTCTAGTGTCGGGCACTGTGGATCTCGTAGTGGCTGTAGTTGCCGTGGATGTATCGGACGAGGCATCAGTGTTGTCAACAGACGTGGTAGTTGCCCCAGACAAGTCCGCTGTTGATTCCGTCATTTCCGCTGTTGTTTCCGTCCTATTTGCTGTTGTTCCCGTCCTATCCGCCGTCATTCCCGTGGTATCCATTACAATGTCCCTAGTCGTTCCCGTCGCTCCCGTCGTCCTCGTCGCTTTCGTCGTGTTTGTGGTTAAATCCAACGGCGTATCCGTAGTCGTGTCTAACGTCGCATCCGTAATCTAACGTCGTATCCGTCGTCGTCGTCGAATCTATCGTCCCCGCCCTCGTTCTTGCAACGGTGGAGTTGGTGGAAGTCTGTGCCGTGACAAGCGCCAGCGCGCATAAAGCTAAAACCACCAAGAGTCTGTTGGCACCCATCCGTGTCTGTCTATTTATGTTGTCTTTAGTATAAAAACACTGTAGCTACTTAGTGCGGCTACCTGTGTTTAAATCCTAACTTTCACCGGTTAGTTAATACTTCGTGTAAACGGAGTGAATACTTATGACCGATAACAAATGTCAGAGGTTGTTGTTAGTCAGTGGTAAGTCTTGCACCAAGCTGTTTGTAGGAATGAGCGGCTGGGCGGGGGGGAGTCAAAGAAAGTCGGATCAGGTAGAAGCCTGCACATCTGAGTTCCAAAGAGAAGGCGCAACCCGACAACTGGAAGGCCAGACGGTGCAGAAGATCGACAAAATGCACATGAAACGATATATCAAGTATCCGAAAGCGACAAAGTAAGTGATGGTGGTTTTTCTTGCTCTTCTTTTCAATAATGTCGTGTATACGAAGGCTAATACCGTCTAGTATAGAAGCACAAGTTGAAATGCAGGGCAAATGCGTTAGAACAGCAGCAGTAGTGACCAGGATTGTGCATGTCGATGTGCTGAGGTTTCTCTATGTTGCGTTGAGGTTTCTGTATGTTGCAACACAGCTTTGGTGTAAATGTTTTGAAGCGGATTGTTCTCGCACGTCGTCTATCAGTTGCAACTTGATTCAGTGGCCCTTTACGTTGCGACAGTATACACTTTAGGAGTTTAACGACTCTAAACTCTGATAGTTATAGTTCAACTCGGAATAGCCGCTTGACGACAACGACTACTTACTTGAATCTAGAAATGGAGTTTGGAGACATGTGTGCAACAAGAACATGGCAGGGTTGGTGGCATAAAGGTGCGCACTAACATCCGCGAGTGAGGAAGCTTCATCTTCAAGTGATAAAGCCCCATGATAGCAATGCTTTGCTTGCCGATCTTGAGATAAGTCTGGATCGAAATAAAAGCAAACGTCGACATAGCATTGTCTGCAGCGCGTGCTTTCTTTACGCAGAACATGTGCGTGAACCTCACTTGGCTACACTTTCTATAACTTAAGAGTATAGCATAAAGCAAAATAGGCGCGTCGTGGCGAGTAGTCGACCAGCCCATGCAGACAGAGGCGCGTCGTGGCGAGTAGTCGACCAGCCCGTGCAGACAGAGGCGCAGCAAAATGGTGGTTGTGCATTCAAATTCTGGCGTTATCAAGCGTAGGTATAGTCCGTCATTAGCTGTTGCCAAGAGAGCGCAGCTAGCAAGTATCGTTCTTGTGCAAGTAATCAATTTAGGAATATCTTGTCACTTGCAATGGCATTTAGGAGACTACTGCAAAAAAACCTTGACGATAGCATGCCACTTGGCCACTTGGCCGCTTTGCAACAGCACGAAGGAGTTATATCAAAAAGCTGCTCCATCTTATAGAGAAGGCACCAACACTAGACGATTGTCTACCGCTGTCTTCAGCATTTATTTCGCAATTAAGCACTTCTTTGCCACTCTGTCTGAACGACGCAACGCTAACAAATATCGTAGCTAATCGTATTTGCAATGGGCAACAAGTGACAAAATGCTTGAACGTTTGACTATCCCATTGCATTATGATAAAATGCTTATTCACTGCAGATGACGAAGAACATTGGCATTGACACTACTCTATAAAGAAAACATAGCGCTATGCTGCAGCTTTACCTCTAGAACGTATCATATAGTCAAGCTCTTTCATTTGTTACCAAATGCCAATATTCAGTTCATTCTGTAACTGCAGGAAGCTTAGAACTAAATCTGTTGCAGAAAGGGCCAGCAGTCTCACGTGTTAAGACTACCATGATTTTCTAAGATTTTGGCATGCTGTTCTATAAGAGCGCAGAGCTACTGTATAGACATAACAACAGTAACAACGAAGCGAGCGTAGAGGTTTGATGCGCCAGAGTGCAAACCAAATCAATTGGCAGGAAGAGCATGAGCGACATTTGATTTCGTAAACTGTCACATAAAAATCATCGACTTTGATCGCGTAACGGAAACTATATGGTAGTCTAGTAGTTTAGATAGGCTCCCCATCCATCTCTTCGTCCATTGGAACTCCATCCAAATCGTCGCCATCTAGTGGCTCTCCATCTATAGTTTCATCTTCGTCGAATGGTTCGCCATCTATTTCTTCTTCATCCATAGGCTCACCGTCAATATCGCTGCTACCGTCGACTATGGGCTCTTTATCAATAAGGTCTTCATCAAAATTCGTCTCATCAACCGAGTTACTGCCGTCTTCGCTTTTCGATTCCTCGTTTTGTCTTACTGTCACATCGTCTGTGAGAGCCTTCGGCCCACCCGAGGTGGCAATCTTGTGTCTTGGTTGAGTACTGGGTGCTTTCGTTGCTACCGTCTGCCAAGGTTCACTTAACGTTGCCGGTGACGTAAACTCTTTAATCCACTGCAGGCGAGCTATGAGCCGCTTTGCATCGCCTGCGGCCATAATTCCCGATTGTCGACATGTCTTTCGTAGCCGCTCTAAATCAATTTCGCCGATGCCATTGATGCTTAAATTGTGTGACACCAAGTACTCATCTTCTTCAACTTTGCGCAAGAACGAAGCATGAAGGCCCAAAAGCACAGCTGGAGGGAATAAACTCCAACTTTCCCATGCAGAAAGCACGTTCATCACCTTTTCTTTCATCGCATTCGCAGACATTCGACCAACGATGTTTTTGTGCACAATACGAAGCGTATCCATTATTTCTGGTAGACAGTCTTGAAACGTCGTGCGAAACAGCGATGCGTTTTTCACAGCAGCCGAGCTGTTGTGCAAAATGTCGGATGTCACATATAAAAGGCCAATGAGAGTGACGCCAGACGAAGTTAAGCTCTTAAAAGATTCCAAAATTATGTTGACCAAGTCCACCGCTGCTTCGGAGTTGTCCAAAGCAAAGCCCATCGTCTTTTTTACGGACTCTCTCTCCAGGGTCAGTTCACCAAGCAAATCCTTAAATTCATCGTAATGTTTGACTGACAATCGATTTCGTTCCCGACCTCTCTCCATGTCGCGCGCACGTGCAATTTGTTGTCCAGTCAGCAAACTTTCGTTCTCATCCGTAGCACCAACTTTTTGTTCACTACGGTCATCCACATGTCTATTCTGTCGGCTTCGTTCATGCCGGCTGTCACCACGCCGTTTGTATTCTCTACGGGAACGCGAGCGCGACCGGCAACTATTCGTTTGTAAGCTTGTATCATCAGATGACCACGAGCGACCGCGATGACATCGACTTCTGCTTCGGCTGCGGCGTCTGCAACTTCTCTGGTAATCACGGTCACCGTCCGAGCTAAACGAACTGCTACGAGACCGATGACTGCTGCCACTTCGTCGGCGTGTTCTTTTAGAACTTCGCGACCTGCTCCGACTTCTGCTCTGTTTCTGCCAACCGGACAATCGAGACGTAAGTTCGCGCTTACTACTTCTATGCGATGGTGTAGGCACGTCAGGTGGAATCCACACAGGCCCTTCGTCAGTCATCCGAAATGGTGTTGTACGCCATGAGTACTCATTGTCTCCCATCGCAAATGAGTAGACTCGCCACCGATAATACAACGCTGTGGCAGACTGAGACTTGAACAGAAAATCGTAATCCCCATTGTTCGCTTCACGCATACGAACAGCATTTTCAAATTGAAGTCCATCTGTCGCAACATAGTGAGCAAGGTGATCCACACGCCGTTTTACTTCTTCATTGGGCATCTCGATCGTAATAGACGGACTGCTGATTGAATCTTGCTTTACAGTAGACATATCCGGTGTGACAGTGGCAGATGCCACCGCCGATGAAAGTAGTACACCAGGGGTGCACTCACGAGGCTGGATTTTAACCGCTTTGCCCCATCCAACAATCATAGGTTGGCCTTCCAACTGCACATGTAAAGTTTGGGTCAAACAATAAGAAGGCACTGCACCTGAGAAACAATACTGTAATACGCACCTCTTTGTTGTCCAGATTAATGCGTGCATCGTCAGCATCACGTCGCTCGTAGAAACTGACAAAGCCGCAGTTGCGTTTACGTGCACGCTCTTCTTCTGATCGAGGCCACATGATTTTTACCGAGTAAACCTGTCCATACCGTCCAAACTCCGCCTATAATTCACGAACATAGCTATCAATATCACATACACGTTCCCATTTTTGCATTTATGACCGCAAAACTTTGACACAAACCTCCAAAACTTCCTCTGTAATTGTCGGGGCCAAATTCCCTACATACAAATTTGTTGTGTCTGGATTTCCGTTATCAAATGATCCTTTCGCCATGCTACTACCTTCCATCAAAACAGGCGCAGGTCCTCGTTCCTTCATCTCCTCTAAGAATTCATCAATCGCTCGTCGTTTCTTAGGCATTTGCATCATTGTAACCTGATTTTGATGCTGCATTTGGTCCGCTACTTTATGCGTAATCTCTGACGCTCTTTTATCAGCAAAAGATGAATCTAGACCAAACGCTTTCGTTTCCTTTGCTTTTAATCTGTACACATCGTCATAATGCTGCGTAGATACTTGGTTATTCTGCGCTGCTGCCCTCACAAATGTCTTGCCTTTCGTCTCATCTTCATTGTCAAAAGACGCTACAAACGTCGCGTAGATCTTTGCAGCTTCTTCATCCGCTTGTCGCTTCTTCGCTTCACGGTCTTCTCTTTCCTGTAAAGCCACATATCGATTAAGTATACAAACCAACAAACTAGTAGCATTGAAATAACTTCAATGTGAATCAAATACCTTTTGAAACTTGGTCTTTTTCTGATGGCCTAGTACAAAGCGTGCCAGCTTATCATCTGTCAATGAAGTCAAAGAACTTGGCTGCATTTCTGTCGTTTCCATTCCCCATGGAAGCTCTGGCTGAGAAGGTTTTACTGGTGCTACGTCCTTCGTAAGGCCACCACCACCTGAGCGCTTCTGTCCCATTCGATCGAACGTATGTGGAAATATGATGTGTACGTAAACCACATAATTAATCAAAACAGGTGTGGTCCACGTCAAACGCACCTGCTTCTAAAAACGATAGACCATTATCTATGGATTTTTGCAATAGAGACAATATGGGAATAAGGTTATCACGCTTTGATTGTTGTTGTTATCTTGGTTGCAAGCAATATGTATGCAATTCTACTTAGTAGATTGAATCAATCACTAAATTTATGCAGAATCTGTCTTGAAAACAGAAAATTGCGTTCAAAACACCAAGATATGACCTCCCCGCATGCAACGCCTAGTCCTGGCGCGACAGTAGCTTCTTGGAAGTAATACCCTTGGGTGTGATAATGTGCACGACAGCACCCCAACCAGAGAGCGCATCACGATTACAAGCAGATAAAAGACACTGCGAAAGTGTCTCAAATAGATCCTCTTCCTCCATTTCAGGCTTGTACATGGACTCACACATGCCGTAGAGTGCCTCTTCCATTGTGCCAGCCACTACAAAGTCTTGTGTAATCATCTCACAGCCTAAACAGTCCATACTGGATAGAAAAGGCTTGTTGTCCTCGGTTAAGCCGGCGATTACAGGCTCGACAAACCACGGGCCGAACCTCTTTTCGTACATCATATTAGACAGCAGTGCACTCAGTGTCTTGGGCTTAATGTCACGTTCCTCATTCATCTTGTACATATTAATCTTAAACTTGAGTAGCTGTGAAACGGATTGGACGTCTGTAGCCAAGCCCGCCAATCCTAGGAATGTCTTGTCTGTCACACGAAACACTTTTTGAAAGTCCATGGCAACAGTCTGTGCTTGCATACCTAATCTAGTATCACTATATGTTTATATTCAACAATTTATAGTCAATTTGTAGCAACAATTTAAGTGTGTAAGGGCGAATTGGCGTACCATGCAATGCCGACGCAATCTTTTCCCGCCATGGCGATAATTGCTGCTCCGTTGTAGGATAAGATGGACTAGATAAAAATACAGATAGAAGCAGCACATATTTATATTAGATCTAGCGCTTTAGCTATCACCCGATAGCGCGTATTCCTGTGACAAGAAGCTGCTTTACCATGATATTTAAGCTATTCGAGGTAAGATATTGTCACTCCCCCTTCTGAGGATTCAGGATGTTGCGGCAAGGTTGCGCCAGTGAAAAATGCTCGCCCGTGTCTTACTATACACGAAAAACAGCTGGTCTATTTAGTAGCTGTATGCAGAAAGAGCTGTCAAAACTTATATTGTCCAGACTGATACCTGTCATAACGGATACTAGATTGTCGTCTCTATATAAGAACAGATAAACCATCTGGTTAATTCTGTCAAAAGATTAGTTTCAAACAGTGTAGTGCAAAATAGGTCTGGATGCATTTTTGCACTATGATGCGAAATCTGATGGCCGCTGCAGATAGATTATAACATAATCACTGCTAGATACCTGCTGCATCTACAAGCTATAAATGTCTCAATAACCCTTATGCGTCTTGCAGCAGAAAAAGCAGAAAGTTTCCCAAAGTCATCTTTTTTCCCACGCGCATCATTTATCTGGGACCTCACCGGTCGTTGTCGTATACTCAACACCTTGCTAAATCATTGTTGGATGAAGTCGTTATTATTCGTACGTAATGATCGAAATATTGGTGTGCGGTAAATTTATAATATGAGTGTCTTGCACAGCATTACTTTGTGGTGGTGCAAAATGTTCATTGCTACGAATCTTGTCATAATAAATATCGTTTCTTAACTAAAGAATACCAATAGTATCAGTTTACCCATCTTTTTAATTAAAACTTGAATGTAGCGTTATATGATATAATGATACAAAACGTCAATGCTATAATGCATTTACGTGAATAGATCTCGGTCATGAGAAGACAGGTCAAGCCATACCTAATGTATCAGAGATAGTATCATCAGTCCTTGATTTAACATCGCACACTAGAGCCTCATGTTTTGTTCGTTATAAACGTGAACAATCAACTTGAATATTCAGTTTTACACCTTTTATGTGACAAACGACAGTCTCTTTTGTGTACCCATTGCACAGTATCTTTGTATGCGCTGGTGTAAGTAAAGTGAAGCTTACATTGTTTAAGTAAAGTGACCAGTAGTTGGTCATTTGTGTAAAACTTAATAGTTTGCGTCCCTCTCTTCAGTGACTAAACTCTTGACTCTTTTATAAATAAATTTTTTTTTTTTAAAAATTTTTTTAATTTTTTTTTTTTTCTCTTTCATTCCAAGCCTCTTTTAACGTTTTACACGGCCATTTACGCTTTTAATTCATTCTATATTTTCTATTACTATTATTGTGTTCAATTAATTTGGAGTTTAGCACTATGGCAACAACAATAATGCTTCCAACACCTTCTTATATGCTGGGTGAACGTCCAATATCAACTCATAATGGCTCATATACACCGTCTTTTCATCAAGTGCCATTTGTACGTGCGAGTGAACGAGTGGAATGCGGTGTTAAGGTTCGTAAACAATTACGCAAGTATCTAAGAGCAGCATCAACTACACAGCACATGGTAGCTCAGACACTTTTAAGTGATTCATTTCTACCAGCATTACAACCACAGGAAGTGGCACAATCGTGTTTTCAGGACTTTTTTACGCATATGCGAACGTACAATCAAGTGCTAGGCAACAAGCACTTGGCAGCTAGTAAGGCTTACTTGGAAATGACAAAACCACTTGAAAACTCAGGCAAATCAAGGCGATGGGCGCGGGATGTCTACAACTATGTTCAACGCTGTGTTAATGACGTACACGTAGCCGAAAAGAAAATGGACAAGGCAAGATCACGCGTTGCTCGTGCTGCTGACGAACTCGCGCACTGGAAAACAGTACTAGCTGCTAACGAAGCTACATATCAAGTACAGCCAAACAACCCGGAAGTAAAACGAGCTTTCCAATCAGCACAGTATCGTTTTACGAATGCTTTTGGTGAAGATGAAGCGGCCGGCATCGAGTACGATGACGCACGGACTATGCTGATGAGTACAATTGCCAAGCGAGATGAAGTCGTGGAACAAGCTACGGAATTATCGCAGAGTGTGGAAGAAGATCGACTGGATACGCTCCTAATTGTGATCGGGCAATTTGTGGAGACGAAAGTGGCCATTTTAAAAGCAGAAATTGAAGCCATGTCAGACCTGCAACGTACGCTGAAAACGATGGATCGGGACTCTGTCGTGCAGCAATATATTGTGGATAGTATGGCGCCGGAACTCACGCATCGTCAAGCAAAGGCTCTGGGTTTAATGGAATGGCATCGTGTCTCATGGCGGTATGAACAGCAATCACGGCAATCGACTGAGCCAGGCAGCTATTTAGCTGTGTCTTGCTCCTTGGAAGATATGGCAAAGCTGAAGTCATTGGGAGTTTCCGAGAAGGATGTTGAAATTATGAAAGATTTTGTAGCTAGCTGCTTCCTAGAGCCCGAAGCAGCTATTCTTCCTGTAATTGCAGTAACCTCGGTAAGTACTGAATCGTCATCAAAACACCGCGGCAAATTTACAGATGCGTCAGCTTCAGCTACCCAGTCGATGTATCGCGTTGGAGTAGTGCGACGCATCATTTTAGACTTCCTCAGGCATCAGCGAGTGCACAACCGTGAGCTTTCACGCGAGGGTTTTTCGCGGCTTGCCGCAGCGTTGCAACTGCTGTTGGATGCTTGTGTTGCTCAACATGATACGCGAACAACAATGCACCTTATGAATATGTTGCAGACTTTTTACCGAAAGACCAGCAAAGACGGACAGGAGTATCTCCATGCAGCACTTAGAGATCACGCGGCTTGGCGTGTACCCGCGTTTTGGAGAGATGCATTGATGGAGAGTGTGGCAGAGGAACTGAGCAAGACGCCAATGGACACGCCGTGGTATTTTCTGGCCGACGCTGAACGTGCGCAAAAGGTGTTGGCGGTACACAATGTCGTGTACGGCCAAGCTTCGGCCTACCTGTACCACCTTTCTAGTTTCGGTTATTCTCGGCGGCAGCTTCTCCAATACGCTGTCAGTGTGTGTTTGGCATACGAACTGGGCGAAGAGCAGCGCGTTAGTTTGCTTTCATCGGTTCGGAGTATGGTTTTGGCACGATCACAAGAGGATGATTACGAGGAAAAGCGAGAAGGGCCGATGAAGTTTGAAAGCAATGATTGGCACCGCTCTTCTGAACGTAATGTTGAGCAGTCTCACTGTAGCAACAGCCGAGTCCCTGCTGCCCGAACTGCAGATGTGGAGTTCACGTCGTTTATGTTACCAGATTGGTCGTCCTTTTCCAGTGGCGGTGGAATTGCTGATGCTAGTACAGATAGTAGTAGTGTTTCGAAGTTTGGTCGCAAACGTGGAGAATCGAGTGCATCAAATGCCACGACTGTTATTGAAGGATCAGTAACGGCGTCTTATGTTGGTAGTGTGCGCGATTTTGAGGAAATGAAGATGATTGCATCCACTGTTGTTGGCGAGGAAGGTGACGAGTCCTGGGAAAATTTGTTTGGCGCAACGGTTACAGATGTTGCTACAACCGAAGAAGAGCCGATGCGTTCGATACTGGGCATTGATGAGGACGCGTGCGAGTCCAGCGAGAAGCACAAAGACAAGTTAATGAAGCGCCGCAAGAATGCCCGTAAGTTTAACGACCAATTACGACTGGCACGCAGTTTGCCTCTGAGTTTGCGTATTCACGAGGAAGAGGAAGAGAGCGTGGCAATATCCACCGTTATAACAACAGAATCGGCAAGATCAGAGCAGAAACAGCCACCACTACCACCCAGCCGCCCTCCTTCATCTGCTGGAATCTTGCTTCGACATCGTTCATCTGATAACATATTTATGACTGCTCGAGAGGAGAAAGGCAAACTACCACCTACGCACGGGAGCCATTCGTATGCTACAAGATATGAAAATGGTAGTATTCCGGATGAAAATGGAGGTGCGAGGTCTGAAAGGAGGAGACAGAGGAAACTACACAAGTCACGGTCTGTCGCTAGCATCGACACATCCATACTACGAACTGAGACCGAGAAGGTGTTTCGTAGCAAAGGCGCCGCTGCCAATCCTGCAGACCAGATCAAAACTATGGCGGCTCGGATGAAACAGAGGCGGAAGGAGAACTCTGGTGGCACCATCAATTTTGTGGTGCTGACACGCACGCAGAGTGATGCCACCGGGTTTCCGTCTGCTGCTGTCTTGCACGAACCTCCTCCTACACCAGAAAAGAAGAAGAAGGAGGAGGTAAAAACGTTGTTAGGCGTTGCAGCTCTTCGCGCTCGCTTTGAGAACAAATAAAGCACAGCAAGAAAGTAATCTCTGCGACGAGAGAGGACACTTTGCTGATTAATGGCTACCATTTAAGGTCTCTCCTCTGGTTTTCTCTTTTTGTCGCTAGAAGCGGCCACCAGCCTTAGCAGCCTTGCCCTGGTACTTGTTTGGCAGGTTAAAGCTGACCGTGGTGTTGCTCGATTGCACAAAGAGACGACCGCACACAGGCATAATGTCCCACTCAAGTCTTAGCGTCACGTTGGCACCGCGCAGCTCGTTATACTGGTCAGCTAGAAAGTATTTCACTTCCTCATCTTGAAATTGCAATTGACTTGCAGCTTCCTTCGTCTGTACGATCTTGTCCCAGATCACAACCTCATTGCGAGAATTGGTTGTGCTCTTAAACTCAGCTACCACGTACACGAATAGCTGCTTAACATTCCAGTTAAACACAGAGCTTAGATCTATAACCACAATATCGTCAAAACTTAGTATTAACATAAAAAACAAACACTTAGCGAGCAATTATTAGTTCTATACTTTAACGTACCAGCGTCCAAGTCGAATGAAAGTGTAGCACGATCCGCCTTATCACGGTAATTACGCAACGAATGAATCTTCACAAGATCCAAACGTCGCACAGCTGGCGCAGGTTCATGCAGATAAGTACTGAATGCAGTAAGCGTACACATGACTGACAGCGCTACTAGTGACGTACAAAACACGGCATTTGCACGTGTCCAGACTGAGTACATGGTGCCAAGCGGATGATTTTTTTTTAACTGCGACTTTTGTTTGCTCGGATGTAGCTTTTCATTATGATTGGTTTAAAATCAAATTAACGGTTTTACAACAAAAATGTTTCAAAATGAATAAATTCGTTATAAAACACCTTACGACTCATCAAAACACGTGAATTTTATTATTCTGCGCCGTCTTCTTTCATACAACCCTTGTTAGTCTATTGTACTTAGACTGTAGAAATAGGATTACTGGCCGCAAGAACTAGAGCAGGAGCTGGCTGGCGATCAACTCCTGCAGCCAAAAGTTCTGCAGTCAACAGCTGAGCCGTGCGCAGGCAGCGCACGTGCATGAAAAGGTTGATTGCCATAAGCATTCCAATGCAAAGATTGACGTTGTTCGAATAGTACGTAGACTCTACGTATTCTCTCTCATCACTGCTCGCGCCGTTGCTGCCACTTGCATTGCCCACGTAGCTGCTCATGCCCTGGGAAAAGACCAGCATCACGATAAGCATCCATATGTTAAGGCTCAGCATGACGTAGTTAGCACGAATGTACCAGCGGAGCCACTTGAAACGATGCATGTCCACAGGCAATCGTGAGCTATTGAGACCCAACACGGCCGTAAACAAACCCAATAACCCGATCAGAAATGGCTGCAGGAACAAAAAAGTCACCACGTAATACGACAACAAGCAACCTGCCATCCATCGGCATTTCTGCAAGAATGGGAAACGCATATTGTCGACTTGTGCGTCAATCGACGCTCCCGGTGGAGGAGCCATGGACATCACTGTTACGTACGGGTGATTTAGGTCTGCGCTGTTCACTTCACCGGAGAAAACGCCTTTCGAGCCGTTTGGGTTTGCAGGAATGTTACTGCCTCCATGCAAATGCGACTGAGTCTGATTAATAATGTTCAGCGGCTGCGCCATTGCAATAGGTGGCAGCGTCGATTGTATTCTCATTGTTGCATTGGGCGTTGTCAGAGCTGCAGCGTACGGCACATTCACAGACTGCACGTGCTCCAAAGGTGTTGAAGTCGTCAATTCTGAAGCTACTCTTACTGCTGCTGTAGGTGAAGCAAGAGGTTGTTTTTTGCTTGTACTGTTAGCGGTAGAGTCCATTGCGTTATTGAGACTCGGTTCTTTAATGTATGAGGGTCAGGAAGGAAGAAGTCAGTCCAGATATAACCGGTAGTTTCTAATCAGGCCACTCAGTATTTGGGTTTGTTTATTCAATCGAAATAAATACAGACAAAAAATATATTCAGTTTCACTATTGTTTGTAACTACAAACGGGACAAGAAGTACCGTAAAAAATAGAAACGATACACTTGTGACAAATTAGAAATGCCGCTGTTCTTGACGAGACATCATGGTACTACTCATGTTGTATCCAGATCACTCGAGACGCTTCATCGTCGCTATTTATCGCTTGCTGTGCCTGGACAACGTCCTTACCGCGTCTTATTTTTTGGCACAGACGACGTTTCGCTTGCTACGCTAAAGTCACTGTACATTAACAGGTTTGTGCATATTTGAATTCGTGTGGCTCTCGTTTAGTGCGCTCAATTATGTTTGATATTCATGCAATTGAAGCCAAAAGAAGAACGATCATGACTGCCTCGTTGAACATATTGAGGTTGTATGTCCGTCAGATCGTCCTATGTACGGCTGCAAGAAAGACGACTCGGTGCCTGTCAAAAAATTTGCACGACGCTGTGGACTCAAAGTGTTTGAGACGCCATCACATCTTAAGTCACTGAAGACATGGAATTTTCCTGTAATCAACAAATTTGATGTGGGAGTGGTCGTGTCCTTTGGCTACTTTCTGGTATTGCCTATATTCTCTTGTAAATCGACTGTTGAGATATCGAGCGCAGCTTTTTAACGTTCATGGTGGCGTGATGATGCTTTTGCAGTACCCGAACATGTTGAAAAATCTGTATTATGGCGCAATCAATATGCATCCTTCAATGTTGCCGAAAGTATGCAAAGAAGCGTTGCACTGGATTGAGGCTATGAATGGAAATTGCTGAGCTTAGAATGTTGTTTGTTGTTTGTTACATGTAGTACCGTGGTCCTGCTCCGATTCACCATGCTCTTTTAAACGGTGACACGATGACAGGAGTGTCGGTGATTGAAATTGACTCCAAGGCTTTTGACGTTGGCCGTATTATGCTGCAAGAACCTTACAAAATCAAGCCCGGCATTCAATGCCAAGAGTGCGGTCAAGCTAGTACACTGTCACTTTTTTGATCAGCCTGGTGATAGGGTTTTTACATTATTTTGTGTTGTATAGGCTAGCACAGGAGCTTGCAGCTTTTGGAGCTGATTGTGTCATTAAAACGCTGGGTGATTTGCCATCACGTAAGAAGAAAGCAGTATTGCAAGACGATGCGCATGCGTCGAAGGCACCTAAAGTAACGTTCAAAGATAGTCTCATCTCGTGTGACGACTTTTCTGCGACCGATATCTTTCATGTAAGGATGACATTAGACACGAACGTTATTGGATGAACAGCTATTGATGTGCTTTTGCATTGCTATTTTCTTTCTAGCGGTGGCAGGCATTGAGCAACTCAGTTGGCATAAGCGTCCAGTTCCGAGAAAAGATAGTAAAGTTGATTGAAGTCCGGCTTCCATCGGACGAGGAGCTGCAAACTGGTGAGTTTTTTCGCTGTTAGCTGGTATAGTTTCTTAGCTGTTGAAAGGATAGCTTATTGTACTCACAACGCGTTGGCTTGTGCTCTTTGCAAAGTACTTCAAACGGACGAGAGCCGCAATGAACTGGCAATAACGGGTACTTTTTTCTTTGAGAAGAAACGTCAGGCGCTATGGGTACGATGTGCAAATAACTCTTGGTTGCTGATTACAAAGCTTCAGCAAGCCGATCGCAAGGTCGGGACTGCTTTAGATTTTTGTAATGGATATCGGCTGAGAAATTTGCAGCGTGAGCGATTTGAAAAAGTAGCTACTGTTCCCTCAAGGATCATCAGCCAACCTGACCAGATGCTTCATCGAGCAAGTTGCACCAATTGGTAATGAGGATGAACTTGGGCAAATTTTTTGCAAAGTGCCTGCAATTGTCGGAAGTGGTGGTTCAAGGAAAAACACTCAATTTTGTCATTAAATTCTCTGAAATCACGTATAAACGCTATTTCAAGTGTACCTAGTCATTTTCAGAGGGGTAGTAGTTAAGCGCTTCAGCATGGCAGTTTGCTCGTCACCTTTGACAGTGGGTGCTACTGCTACTTGAAAAGTTGGACATGAACGGTAACAGATCTATGTTCTTGTTCTCGGGAAGGACAAGAACTGCGCTTTCATTTATTTTACGTCTGCAGCTTTATGCAGATATTTCCGTTTGTTGTATCACTATTGCATTGCATCACGGGAGAATCCGCAATTAGCTGTTGAAAAAGCTGCATTTATTCAATCGCGAGCAACGGCCAGTGGCGGCCCACATTATATGTGTCATGTTCGCGCACGATAGTAGTGCACATGTCACTGATACTATTACGCTTCGCTTATCCTTAGGGATCACCTAATTAGGGGTACAAGCTCGCAAAACGAACAGATTCGTAGAATAGACAGCTCCAGTTCTGGGCCAAGATTGACTCAATTTTTCTGTTAATCTGATCCAATTTATTTACAACATTGTATGATGCCGATTTGACTGCAACAATCCGTACTGTGTCAGCTGAGCACACGGATGTTTTTGATTGACTCGATTTTTTGGTAAACTAATCCAGTTTGAATTACCAGTTTGTATGATGCTGATTCGACCATATCAAGATCAAGTAAAGGCAGTGTGAGATACAAAGTTGGATGTCCTCTGTCGCACGTAAGCGATCGTTGTGCACTTAACTAATGCAGTGCCGGTCACAGAAAGGAACAAGACATAAATTGCTTTTCGTCGTTCGATTACAAGTTGATACTAACATGAAGTTTTACTACTCTGTCGTCTCGTTGGCGACGTTGATTGCTCAAGTCTCCGGTACTTGCAATAACTCTTCTCAGAGCGAGTTTTATGGCTGGTACCGCTGCGCAGCGATTACCTTTCCAACAAACGAAAGCTCTAATATTCGTGTCAATGCGCTGTCTTCAGTGCGCTGCTTTGTTATCCTGGAATTTGCGAGACACCAGATCCTGTGAACTTCAGAATCGATGTCTGTATGAAGCGGATACCTGCTGTAAACAACCCAGAAACCGCACCAAACGTTTGGCTGATGGTTGGTGGTCCGGGCTCTGGATCAACTTCCAGTAAGGTGCATTTTGTCTTAATTAAGTACATCCTTGAATCTACTAACCTTTGTGTGCAGTGGAATTGTCTATGGTACAGCTGCATTCACGATTATTTGGATCGGCGAACGTCTATACCATGGACTATCGTGGAACTGGTCGCAGTACATTGCTCAATTGCGTCGCAGCACAAAGTAGTTTTGCTTCGTCTAAAGACCCGTCAAGGGTCCCTTCATGTGCCCAAGATTTGAAACAAAAGTACGAAAGTCTTTCGTCATTTTCCATCATTAGCGCTGCGACAGATCTAGCAACAGCAATTACCAACTACACGAATGTTAGGAATACCATCGTGTATGGTGAGGGCTACGGTACCAGAATCCTGAAGCATTTAATGAGTTTTAGTCTCGCTGAAGTCGTTGGATACTGCTCTGATGATGGCATCGTGGCTTTTGACATCACCCAAAAATTTTCTCGCTAGGATGAGATCCTTGGAGTAGCAGGTGATGCTTTCTTGGATTTGTGCGCGACAACAAGTGACTGTAACAAGCGATTTATGTCGAAAATTCTACGCGACTCGCTTCAAAGCTTGATTACATAATTCGACAGTAACCCAGATTCGCCGTGTGCCGCTCTTGTAAGCAATGGTCAACGCTTCACTCCTGCCTCACACATATTACGTCGGATTTTTGGAAACATGATTCAAGAAAATACTGTGCGCTTACTGATTCCGTCTCTTGTTTACAGAATGACTCGGTGTGAGCCAAAGGATATTGACGTGCTGAAACATTTTTTTGGAGTATTTAAATCTATATGTAACCCGTCCTCGCAGAAGCAGCAAGTACAGATCACATCTGCTTTACTACGTCATCATTTTCTCTGAGTTGTGGGAGAAACCAACGCCATCTATTGAAGAACTGACCTTGCGGTTCAAAAGTGTACGAATCACAAACGGAGAAATGCAGCAGTTTGTCCAGCTGTACTGCGCTTTCTCGAAGGAAAAATCATCTGGATGCGACCAATCTAATGTCGAAAACTATTTGAGCGACGCCATCACGTACAATCCCAACGATTATAGGAATGAGAAAGCTACAATTCCTGCGCACGCTAGTGTTCTTTGGTTGCAGTCTAAATTGGAAATGAGGTTACCTGCTGAAGCTTTGCTGGAACAACTGGATGGTGACAAGAAAGAGCTCTTGCGTTTGAGTACGCCGCTGGTACTGTATTGAAGACCACTCCATATGGCGAAGGCAAGGTGACATGCGGTATGAATCTGCTGTCATCATACGTGGCAAACAACGGCGATTTGCAGCGACTTGACAAGTCTTGCGTCAGAAAGATGCCCCCGTTCAGCATCACTCCAGTGCTAGATAAGCTGTACTACTTTTTGAGCACGGAAGATGCCTTTGACGGAGTTTACGTTCAAAGTTTGTCGGCAAACGTCTCCATTTTTTGAAGCTCACAATCTTTCTCCAAATTACTTTGTTCTTGACTGAAAGAGGTAAGAACGATTGCAAATGCGAAACGAGCTAAACGCAGCAGAATTTTTCCATCATCAAAAGTAAAGCTAATTTTGTTACACTTCATAGCATTTTTACTTATTTGTGTCGTGGTGATGCATTTCACTTTGACAGATAAAACAGGCAACGTACCGCAGTTGGACTTCAAATGGTAATTTATACCTTATCTAAGTGTCACACCATCCATGAGGTTGTTAATTCCCACACTTGAGTAATAACCAAGTTAGAGTGAACTGTCGTTGATAAGCCCTTGAATAGATATAGAAATCATACCGTCGCCTCTACAAGTTTGCCACCTCCAGTAAAAATGAGGTTGGCCTTCTGTGCGAATGTTCGGCTCAATGTGAAGATTTACAATAGCCACATTAGACTGCGTTGAAAGAGTCGATCAAGAAAGTGAACTTAACGACTTGAAACGGTGTCGATGAAAGAGCTTGAGCTTGTTTTAGCGAAAATGGAAGGCAAAGCGTCGATGATATCGCAGGATTGTCTTTTGTATGTCATACGCAATCATGAAACCTTAACTAAAGACCGTTGTATATATAAAGAGAGGGTCTTTTGAAAGGTGCATTTACAAGACTAGTACAATACTTCCCAGCAAATATTTAAAGAGCAGATTTACGTGCTGGTGAGTTGTTGTTGTCAAACGCCATCGCTTAAATTAAATAACGTAATGGCTGTATACGGTGATGAATCCAAGTATACCAGTGGTCCAGCGTAGTGGTGCAGAATGCTGGCAGCGGATCCTGAGCAAAAACGACGAGTTCTGTATCTCTTTTCAAGCTCCTACTGAGCTGAAACGGTGTAGTCGCAGCTAGATTATGCTTTTGTACGATGCCATCCGTGATTAACTCGCTTGCAATTGCGTATTAGACTTAAGGCTTTCTACGCGTTTATAACAATATCGCACGCATTCCAGACACGATTACGAAACTAACGAGAATACAACGAACAATAGTAAATATTTTAAGCCCCGCTTATACCACACAGAATAATGCCTTCCATCTAATTACTTTTGTAACTAACACTGCAAGCAAACGACAGTCGTGCAATTAGAGAATGTTCGATGATATACCTTACCCCATTAGCATACCGGTGATATCGCACTCTCCAATCTGCGCAGCAGACGGCACACGCCAGTGGTGAGTATAAACTAGGCAGACAGACCCAACAGGTGTTCCGGCAACAGCTCGCGCGCAAATCCCATGCCCGATCCTCCTCCTGATAGCGGAAGGGACGAGACTGGCGACGATCTAGGTCGTCCGGCGCTCCCATCAGCGCCAGTTGCGACTCGGGTTTCTCCTACCTCTCCGCAGCAGTACAGGGATTCGGTGGCGACGAATACGCACCAATTCGATGCTAACAGGTTCATGAACGGGGATAGGCTCTATTCAGCCACCTTTCCGAGGACTTGGCGGCCCGACCTGGACCGCGGTCCTGCCCATTCCGACAGGGTGCCACCGCGTTCACCCCTTCCGGCGCGGAAGGTGTATCACGGGGTGATCGACTGGAGCCGTGGGACCAATTTCCTTCGGGGAGCGCAGGAGTCACTTCGGAATGGCCTAAAACTCCTCTTGTTACCGACTACAACGATCTTCATGCTGCCTTAGAGGATAAGATGCAAGCCCACCTCGGCGAGGGTCCGCTCGATTCCTGGCTTCTCTCCACACAGGCGATGTACACAAGGGAATCGGACAAATTTGCCGTTTGACCAGGGCGGAGCGAGTTGGATTGCTTTCTCTATTTGAACAAGCTTGCATCCTCGGAAGCCAAGGTGGAGAGGCATGGAATCGCACACTCCAACCAGTGCGGAACCTATACGTAACGAAATGGGCATTTCTGGAGATCGTTCACAAGCACGTAAGCCGCCTCAAATGAAAGCAGCGCCTGCATTGGGTCAGTGGGCGGCTAAAGCAAAACAGGGTATTCCCCTCGGAAGTGGAGTTCCCGGGACCTATGCTAACTCAAGTGTCTCAGACGTTTGCAGCGGCAATGGATAGCTTAGGGCTGCGGGAGGTAGCAACGCCGGCTTCCGGCAGTTGCCTTGCCATGGCAATGGTGCAAGCAGCAACTGGTAAAGACCTTGCAGAGCCAACGTCGAAGCTTGGACAGCTCACGGCAACCGTCAAAACCTGGGTCAAGGAGGTTGGGTTCTTGAATTTAGGAGACCGCATACCGCAGGACATTCGGGTCGCGATGCTTCAAAATGTCAATCGTGCTTGGCCAACCATGACGTGGCGGGAATCTCTTGGCCAACTCAAATGGTGTTTCGAGGACTACGCGTCCAGTCCTTCCGAACAAGAAGCGGTCGTCGCAGACAATACGTGGGGAGATACTGACGTCATTGGACTAGCGGCAATGTTCCTACGTCGGAGCATTTACGTACTCGAAGTAGAGGATACGCGTGCCAACCCCTGGAGCTGTCGGCAGTTTGAACCAGCAGGGCTATCTATCAGAGCAAAAAGTATTGCTTCGTTCACCGAGCGACCTTGGACATCTAAGAATGCCTCGATGCCATCAGGGTAGATATCATCGACTCTTCAGCTCCTCCCATTGTCCTTCGGTACTAGGGTCGGCATTACTCGGCTGCCGTTCCTCGACTGACAACAATGAAGGAGCGAACAATTCATCACGACGCCATCATGCTCGAGAAACCAGTTCAGCAGGTTGTAGAAGACCCACTGCACGCCACTATCCTGACTGATGATTTTGCCCCGCTTCGAGATGGATCAAAGCACCTATTGCTGCTTGAGAGTACGCGACCAACGCCACGATGAACACTGATATCATCACTTCCGACACCTTTCGCACACAGGCAGACTACGTGACGCCGCCTTCTATACTCTGCGCCGCTGAGAGGCAATTGCGTAAGAGTACCCATTTAGCCGCGCCTCACGCTCGCGTTCAGGATGGAGTGGCCGCGAAAAACATCCATACCGGGGCTTTGCTCAAAACAGGGAAAACGGAGTAAATACGCTCTTGTTCAATATCTCACCTGTGAGGGTGAACTAATGGGCGACTCTGCTCAACATTGGGACGTTAAATGGAATAGCGGA